ACCGCCAGAAGGAAAGAAGACGAGCAGGAGAGGCTAAGTGTGGTGCAGCATTTCTTCTGGAGCTAATTGGTAGTTCTGTGCAATGGAACTCCCTCTAAGCAGCTGTGGAGAGTCTTGTGAGCAAAAATGCTCTTTTGTGAGCTACTACTGGCATTAAGAGGAGCTGCGGTGGCTCAAATGGTTAAGACGCTGAACTACAGTCTGTGGAAGTTCGGTAGTTCAGCAGTTCAAGACCCGAGTGTGCCGCATTACGAAGTGAGCTCCCATCTCAAGTTCCAGCTCCTGCCAACCTAGCAGTTTGAAAGCAAGAAATTGCAAGTAGACAAATAGGTACCACTTTGGTGGAAAGGCAACAGCGTTCCGTGCGCCTTGGTGTTTAGTCATGCTGGCCACATGACCACGGAAATGTCTTCGGACAGCGCTGGCTCTTCGGCTTTGAAACGGAGATGAGCACCACAACCCTAGAGTCGGATTCGACTGGCTTTCGAGCAAGGGAACCTTTACCTTTACCTTACTGGCATTAAAGCTGTGAGTGAGCGATTTGGCTACTGCATTAGGAGCCCTCCCTTCCTGAGCTAAGACGAAAATGTGTGAGCCCCAGAGGCTGAAAAACTGTGAGCCAGCTCACACTAAACTCAACCTAGAGGAGGGGGAACACTGGTTCTGTGTCCAAACACCCTCTGGCTTCCTCCGCACAATCCCCTGGCCTGTGTTCCAGCTGGGCTGTTGGGTTGCTGGGCCGTTGGGCATCTCCCATACGAGACTAGGCCAGGGGTGTGCTCTCTGCCATGCCCTGTTAAGAACATGCTTCCAGCCCTGAGTGGAAGCTCTCCCTGTAAAGACAAATGGTTGTGCTCAGTTTCGCCTGTGAGCTGGGAGGGCTGGGACAGATGCTGGGGGGTACCCTGCTCTGAAAAGTGACCATGACTCCTTGCCCATCGGAGTCGAGTTTGGCACATGTCAGGTGGGGATGGCTGTGCATACGAGCCTCCCTCCGAAGGACGATGGTTTGGCCCCTATAGGAAGGGCAGCAGAAAGGTTTTCAGGTGGCCCGTACGTAGGTGGTGGGTGCAAGGGGATCCTGTTTTCTCTTGGGCTTCATGGGCTAGAGATGAGTTTTCTTAAGAACTGCTTACACAGGAAGATGAAAACAATCTCTGGAGCTTCTGAAGAGAGGGAAGAAGGGTTTCTTGTTCCTCTCCTGTTCTACTTCGTGTTTGGTGTACAACCCAGGATTGCTGTCCTCGAAGAGGAGCCTGTTTGGGTCCTTGACCCCAGCCAGCCTTTCCATCCATTTTGCTTTCACGCAGAGATGCGGGGCCTCGCTTTGCAGACTTGTCTTGGCAATGGCACGTTGGTGTCTTTTGAAGCCAGCCCAGATGTGTGCTGGGTTTCAGAGACAATTAAATGAAACGTCTGATGCCAATGTGTGTATCTTTATACACTTGTTTGGGCATCAGCCTTTATTTCTTAGAACTAGAACACTGAAGCACTGAACCACAATCATCAGTTGGACTTCCCTCCCAGTGGTTGAACTTCACAGCGGATTGTGCTGTTTGCTGGTAGTAATTGGTGCTTAAAATCCAATGGAGATAGGTGAGTGCACCCAGTGAGGATACAGGGGCTGTCTTGGCCAGGGGCTGGGTCGTAGGTGGGCAGAGAGAAGGACTGTTGGCTTGGGTGGAGTCACCTTTCTCTTCCATGGGCTCTTCTGCCCCAGTTGCTGACTTGAGCTGAGAGCATTTCTATATTAGCAAGAAGACACTGGCCAGAGAAATGAACAGTTAATGTCTGGATCCTACTAAATTTGCAAAGGGCTAGGATCTGCCCGCAAATGCCTGGGTTCCATGGGAGAGCTCCTCCACTGCATGATGGGAGTCACACTGGACTACACTGCAGAATTGTGAACAAATCCGCTTCTCCAACACTAAAAGACTGTTCTGATCAAATCCCTGCCGCAGTGAGATAATGATGCTGTAGGACATTGCAGGGAAAGCATGGACATCCTTCCTCACCTGCAGATCGAGATGGGATCTGCAGTGTGGATTACTCAGGTGTGAGAGGGCTGCTTTGCTGACATATTTCAGAGCCACTCAAGGCCCAGACTTCTTTCCTGTGGGGGTATGTGACAGTCAGGGCAGGGAGGGAATAATGTAGAACACACTTGTAGCGAAGAGTAGCTCACTAATATGAAGCAGGAAGACACTGCTGGAGCAACCGAAGCATGGAAGACGGTGGACCTTTTCTGCCTATGATACTCTGGACCATAAAAGATTACAGAACGCCAGGGGAGAAGGAGGAGGAGGAAATTGGATTTATACCCCGCCCTTCACTACCCGAAGGAGTCTTAGAGTGGCTTACAGTCTCCTTCCCTTCTTCTCCCCACAACAGACACCCTGTGAGGGAGGTGGGGCTGAGAGAGCTCTGACAGAAACTGCTCTTGAGAAAACAGCTCTGAGAGAACTGTGGCTGGCCCAAGGTCACCCAGCTGGCTGCATATGGGGAATCAAACGGGGGGGGGGAGCGGTTTTGACTGGGTCACTTCCTCCCCCCTAAGGAAAGGATGCCTTCGTTCCCTTTGACACTTCCGGTCATGGGGGGGGGAGCAAAAAGACTACAGAGCGGGAACTACGGAACGGCATAAAGAAGGGGGACTTCCTGGCCAGTGACACACCCGTCATAGGGCGGGGACGGGCTGCTGAGCGGGTGCAGGTGTTGCGCGCAGCACCTCCTGTGAATGTGGACCGAAGGGGGCCTCACTGGCTGTGACACGAGGCCCCGGGGAAGGCCACCGAACCGCGGCGACGATTCCGCGAGACACTTCCGGTCAATGAAGCACGGGGGGAAATCATTGGTTGTGACACTTCCGGTCGCCGGGGAGGGGGGGGACCCCAAACCAGCCAACGAGACTCGGATGAACATCGCCGGCTGCGGCAGAAAGACCACAGGCCGGGGGGCCAGGAAGCCTCCGCTGGACGTGACGCCTCCGAACACGGGGCCGCGCGGGAAAGGCTGCAGGGCGGGAACGGCCGGCGGAAGAGCAGTCCTTTGGGTGGGGGGGGGGACGGCCGCTGTCGGCAGCGCGACACTTCCGGTTCCCAAGTGACCGTGCGGGGCAACCAAAGCTCCGAGGAGGCGGGGCCGAGGCAGCTCCTGTCGCTTTGCGGGGTCGGGGACGGACTCCTCGCCCCTGTCCAGTGCGGCCCGGACGTCTTTCGCCCCCCTCCTCCGCTGTCTCCGCCTCCAAGTCGGCCCGTCGTTCCTTCCCCTTCCTCCCTCCCTGTCGGTCGGAGCCCTTTTCTTGGCGCACCGCTGCGGGGGGGATCCGCCGGAAGGGAGGCTTTTCGCGGCGGGACTCTTCCGGCGGGCGGCCAGGATGGCGGCGGAGGGCGCCTGCGAGCAGCAGCTGCTGCTGGTGCTGCCGGCGGGGGGTCCGGCGTCCTCCTCCTCCTCCCCGTCGTCCTCCTCCTCCTCCTCGTGCCGCCGGTGCGGGGGGGCGGGGGTCGTCGTCGGCGGCGGCAAGTGGGTGCGGCTGAACGTGGGCGGCACCTGCTTCCTGACCACCCGGCAGACCCTCTGCAGGGACCCCAAGAGCTTCCTCTTCCGCCTCTGCCAGGCCGACCCGGACCTCGACTCCGACAAGGTCGGCGGGGGGGCGGCTCCTTCGGGCAGGTGGCGGTTGGCGCAGGTGGCGCTTGGCCTGTGGGGCGGGCGTGGCGGCGGCGGCGGCGGCGGCCTGGGAGGGCAAGTCTCAGCCTGCCCGGCCTCTTGTTGTGATCCTCCCTAGTTTTTGCCCTGTGCGCGTTGAGAGCCGCGCCGAAGCGTTGCTCCCCTCCGTGCAGCCCCCCACCCCCGCGCTGCATCTAGGGACGCGGGGAGGGGGAGGAGGGGCCGCTGTTGGAAAGTGGATTCTCCCCCCCCCCAATATTTAGTGGATGTGCTTAAGAATGCGACCCGTTTTGGGAACTGGTAGTTCAGTTTGCTGGCGAAAAGGCTGGGCTGTCAGGTCTAGCCCTGGTTCGAAGAGTTCATCTGTTGGGCGATCTGCCTTTGCAGATTTAGAACTCTTTCTGAGCCTACTTAACAGCAACCGAGTTGGCCACACAGCCCCCAAATGGGAAAAAGTTAAAATCTCCTTCAGTGGGACAACTTTTCCACCCTTTGTGGAATACTGCATCACTAACTAGAGAGCCAGTTTGGTGTCGTGGTGAAGTGCGCGGACTCTGATCTGGGAGAACCAGGTTTTATTCCCCACTCCTCCACTTGCCAGACTGGCTGGATGACCTTGGGCAAGCCCTAGTTCTGATAAGAGCTGTCCTTGAAAAAAGAGCAGTTTCTGTCAGAGCTCTCTCAGCCCCACCTGCCTTCCAGGGTGCCTGTGGTGGGGAGGGGAAGGGAAAGGAGTTTGTAAGCCACTCTGGGACTCCTTCAGGTAGTGAAGGGCCATGGGGTATGAATCTGATCTCTTCTTCTTCTAACTACATTAACGCATCATCAGAGGGCCCCCCAGAAAGGTTTTCAGGGTTAAGAACAATTGGGTGGTGTTTACAATGTTTGGGAAGAGGGGAAGATGTCGCCTTATGTATTTTGTGGGTTGTTATCCATCATCTTTACCATTGTCACTGTGTCCCAACTTCTTAAAACTCACCTTCGCCTGTTAGGCAAAGGTTGAGTTTTCCAGAATCTTGCAAGCACAATTCTAGCTGCGGTGAAGAGGTTTAACCTTTTGATCAGGGGGCATGTGCCATTCCTGCATAATTAAGCACATTTGTGTTCATTACTTGTTGAGCATCTGCTGGTCAAAATCATAAGGCACCATGGACATCCATATCTTGGATCTCGACTCCACATCTTGGTTCTTGATTTCTTGCCCAGTGATGCCCTGAGGCGCTCAATCCATGGTTTTTATATTCTAGTCCCTGGCACATATTATGGCACATCAGCGTTGGTGGGTTTTGTGTAAAAACAATGAGGATCTATGCTTCAGAGTGGTAGCTCTGCGACAAGGGATAGCAGAACCATATATTTTGTCACGCCAGTAACTGTCAGGGATGCTCACTGCGACTGGTGAGAATCACAAGGGTCTGTGCCTCAGATCTTGGTTTCTGTCTCATGCACTCCACATTCCTTGTTTCTTAAGGTGGGGTCTGTAGATGAGGAAATGAACCCTGTGTTTTGAGTGAAACTGATGCCAGTCCTGGAGGCTCCATATAGGGTCTACAAGGTCTGACTGTTACTAAGGCCTGTAGTGGGGGGTAGGCTCTCTGTTGCTCACCTCTTTTGGTCAAAGAGTATTTTATTTTATTTGAGTGCAATACCAGATTTATCCTCCAGAAGATTCCTCCTTGACTGAATAAGACTGTCCTGAGTGGCCAAGGCTGAGCTCCGCAGGGTAATCCCCCACCGGAGGCCAGGGGCTATCATAATCTGCTTGCCTCACCCACATGAGGAGCTCAGCTAGAGACGGGACCGTGGCCAAGGAGCTCTTTAGTCCCTTGATTAGATGCTTAAACCAAAGCCACACTTCCTCATGTTCACTGTGGTTCTTGTGGCAGCCGCTGCCCTGTCAGAACGTCTTGGGATGGAGGAAGTCCTTGCTGGCGGCCACTTAGCCCTGGAATGCTGCTGGGAAGAGAGGGAGGGGCAAAGAGTCCCTCGCTCTGATTTCCGATCTCGTTCACAGGACGAAACAGGTGCCTATTTGATAGACCGGGATCCAACCTACTTTGGACCAGTGTTGAACTATCTCCGACACGGGAAGCTGGTAATCAACAAAGACCTTGCCGAGGAAGGTACTTTCTGTTGTCTTCTACCGTGCAGAGCAATTGGTCTAATGTTTCATACCACTGTCAGCCAAGTTCTGCGCTCCGCTGATATTGTGGAGGTCATGAGTTTCCCCCATCTGCTGCAGAACAATCCCACGACTGCCTGGGCTGGTATTACTCTGCAACGTATGACGAGGACCTCCAGGTCTGAGTTCCCTGGCCATGAGCGATTCCTTACCAACCAAGTCTTCACTCTATAGAGTTGCTGTGCTGTTATTGCAGCCATCCAAAAAGCTTGCAGATGGTCACCAGGGGACCTTGGCTTTTGCTGTGTGTGGGACTGGTGGGGCTGGCCGCTGGTTCCAGGTTCAGTTCCAGTCAGAGCAGGCGGTGCTGGATTACACAGGCCACTGACCTGATCTGGCACACACTCTGCCAACTGGCCTGACCCCAGGCCACCTCTTTAGACGGAGGACCGAGGGCGGCATCTGGGGGGTGGAAGGCAGAGTTACTCATTACAGTCTCTCTTGTGCCTTCTGCTTGTATTTCTAGGGGTTCTGGAAGAAGCTGAATTCTACAACATCACATCCTTAATAAAGCTCGTGAAGGACAAAATCAGGGAAAGGGACAGCAAAGTCTCACAGGTGGGAGCTTCTCTCTCTTCCACCGTGTGCTGGTGGGCTTGGCTTCGTTTGGGCACAAGTGGCTGTGCTGGGAGGCAGGGGGTTGGGAGGCGTCACCCTGGTGAGGCTGTTGTTAGTGGAGGGCTCTGGGCCTTTTCCTCTGAGATTCGTTCCCGTACAGGAGCGTTTGTCCTTCCCCAAAAGAAGTGTTTGTGGTCTTGAGAATCTTTGTCATGGCACAGTAACGGCAGCTCCTGGCATCAGCCGAGGCGGGTTCTGCTGGAGTGCTGGTTGTGGGGGTGCCTCGAGTGCTCGAGGGAAAGACGGGCTTGCCGAGATTCTGAAGCCTCTGACGGGGGGGGTGGATACATGCTTTGAAGGCCCAGTGGGGGGAGGTCCGAAGGGCTCCCTCGCCTCCTACTCCACTCCTTCCTCTCTCTCTCTCTCTCTCTCCATCCCTTTCTCGTGACAGTTGCCGGCCAAGCATGTTTACAGGGTCCTGCAGTGCCAGGAAGAGGAACTGACCCAAATGGTCTCCACCATGTCAGATGGCTGGAAATTTGAGCAGGTAAGAAATCTGCCCCAGAACTGCTGCTGACGGATGATGCCAGAGGCAAGGCTGGAGGGGGGCCTGGCCCAGAGGCACTCTCAGGGCAGCCGTCGGAACAGGAGCGTTCCTCTAGCAGCGGTCAGCCCACGTGTTTGGTACTCCTGACAGCAGCACCGGGTTGGGCGGGGGACGCGGACTAATGGATGAAGCTGCCTTATCCGGAGTCACTCCCACCTGCCCACGTCTCCTCTCCCATGTGTCAGGTGGGGAAAGACCTTTCTCGACTCCTGCTGCTTGAGAGGGAGAGAGATGCCAGGTGTCAAACCTGGGATCTGCTTGCAAAACTGAGAGATAATAAATCTGAATGGCATTTGACACTCCTGCGGGGCTTTCTAGGCATTTGCACTTGAGCGGTTAACCACTTTGCTGCACCAGCTCCTGGCTTTCTCCAGACACCCCTGTGTGCCAAGTAGCCTCTGGGAAGAAGCCCCCTCCCCTCCCCCGTGACTGCATCTGGCCTCCGGTGGAGGCTGCCCTCAAACGGGGCTCCGCCAAGTCCGTGCCTTCAGTCAGGGATCTCTGAAGTAGCCCTGTACTGAGTCAGGCGGCCCTGGGTCGTGAATGACGTGAATTTTATTGTAACAGCGATTAGCCAGCAATATAAAACCAGAAAAAATAAATTACAATGGCCAAATAGTAAAATTTCCAAAATTCAGCAAGGTAAAAGGTACTAACAATATAAACTTTACATTTGTTAAAACCGAACTAAGAGTGCGCTGCCATAAAACACAGTATAGTATAAAAGAATAAAACATATTACCAAAGGGAACGGTACGAGTTAAAAGCAACAGTCCTAACCCGAGTGCCAACCATCATGCTGATGCGCTTCTACCACCAAGGAACAAAATTTCGCAATCTGATAGAGCGCTGTGTGTTCAAGGTTAAGAAACAAGTTCTCCACCTTGTCCTGATCCGAAGTGCCTGCCAGAAGGGGATTAATAAGTTTAGTACGAGCCTCTTCAAATACCGGGCATCTTAGAAGCACATGTTCCTGAGATTCAATCTCCCCCAACGCACACAAGCATAGCCTCTCTGTTCGGGGTATTTTTTTAAATTTACCCTCAAGAACTGCAGAGGGTAAGGCCGAGCATCTGGCCAGAGTATATGCCCTCCTAAGTTTACGTGACTCCAAAACGTTAAGATATGGGGCCTGCGCAACGATGTATTTAATTCTAATTGGCGCTATAAATGTTGGGGACACCTGTAGATCTAATTGACGTTCGGTATCCTTGATCCTCTGTCTTATTTCTAACTTAGCTCGGTCCCTACCCATCTCCAAAAGCGCTAAGGGAGAATACCCCAAGAGCGAGATTTTCCGCTTAACAGAAATCAGCCAATTAGATTCAAAGGCATCAGACAGAATCAGGGGCACTAGTCCACATGGGTTCAAATTGATCTTCAGCCAATAGAAGATGGAGTATAAGGCAATCATGGCTTCAACCTTCAGCATGCCAGTCTCTAGCCGTACCATTGCGTTGGATACGCATCTCGGAACTTGGAGCACTGCTCTCAAAAATTTCGATTGGACTAGCTCCAAAGGAGCATAGCTAGATGGAGGCGCTCCAAGCAGCGTTCCGTAGAGCATCTGGGCAAGTGTTTTGGCCTTGTAAAGTTTTAAAGCTGGTGGTACAAAATAGCCCCCTTGGGAGCTAAAAAACTTAAGAATGCCATGAGAGGATTTTTCACCCGAGCAAGCAGCTGCCTGGCTATGGGCAGTCCTAGATCCAGAGGCTTGGATGATCATGCCCAGATAGCGAAAACTAGCTACCTGTTCGAGGTTCTGCCCATTTACCCTCCACTTCCTTAGTTTGGGTCTCTTGCCAAAGGCCATCACCTTTGTCTTTGTATAATTTATATCCAGCTCCTGCTCATTGCAATAGCAAGCGAACTTCTTAATTGCCCTTCTCATTCCAATTGGGGTTCTAGAAAGAATAACAGCGTCATCAGCATATAACAGTATCGTGATAGAGCGCTGAGCCAATTTGGGGGGATGAAGATCTGCATCATCTAGGTACCCAACAACATCATTGAGGTAAAAATTAAATAGAGCAGGAGCTAGCATACAGCCTTGCCTAACTCCCTTTAAGGTGGGAATTCTATCAGTCAAGTGCCCCAGCCTGGAATATCTAACCCTCAAAGATGTATGTTCGTGGAGGGCACGAATGAGGGCTAGAAGTCTCCTATCTATTGAGGAGGCTTCAAGTTTACTCCATAGCATAGATCTAGAAACGGAATCGAAGGCCGCTTTAAGATCAATAAAGGCAGCATAAAGTGACGTAGGGCCCTTGCCAGAATATTTTTCAATCAGATGCTGTAAAAGGAGGCAGTGATCCATTGTTGACCTACCCTGCCTAAACCCAGCTTGCTCCTGTATTATTATATCCTCTTGCTCGAGCCAGAGCGTCAGTTTTTCTAGGAGATGTTTGGCATATAATTTGCTAATGACGCTAAGTAGACTAATAGGCCTGTAGTTTGCAGGATCCTTTTGATTACCCTTTTTATAAAAAGGAACAACCACCGCCTCCCCCCAGTCACTTGGGACCCTCCCTGTTCTATCGATGTAAGTAAATAGGTGCGCTAAGAAGGGTGCCCACCAGTTTATATTTTCCTTCAGAAATTCAGGGGGGATGCCATCTAGGCCGGGGGCCTTTCCTCTTTTAAGTTGGCCTATCAGTGCTGTGATCTCTTCAGATGATACTTGAGGCCAGCTTGGCAGGTCACTGAAAACTGCGGACACAGAGCAGGGGGAAGGAGTGTCATGGTACAAATTTTGGAAATGAGAGATCCAAGTTTCAGGAGGAATATAGGTTTCCCTTATTGAGGTGCTGTTTTGCCTTCGAATGGAGACCAACCTCCAAAACAAAGCGGAGTTCTTTTCCTTAGCAGCTTGGATAAGAGCCCTCCATGCTTCCCTAGCATAATCTTTCTTTTTTCTTTTAATTAAATTTTTATAGAAGCGTTTTTTTTCTAGTAGGGCTAGGTAAGCACTTAGCTCTCTCGTATCGTAACGACCAATGTAGTTAGCATACGCTTGAGTAAGTACTCTTTTTGCCTCCAAGCAGTCTCTATCGTACCAAGGCTTTGACTTTAGCTTGTGAGGGGTGGGGGCTCTCTGACCTGCCTCCTGGAACAGGAGGGGAGCAAAATTCTTAATGAGACCATCGTATAGTTTCAGCGGATCCTCGTTTAGCCTTTTTTTTTTTTTTTTACATGCGGCCCTGGGTCCCTCGTCGTCAGTCTTGCCTACTCAGACGGCCAGCGGCTCTCCAGGTTCTCAGGCAGAGAGAGGCCTTTCCTGTCACCTCCTGCCAGGTTGTTCACCTGGTGATGCTGCTGGGGACTGAACCCGGGACCTTCTGCCTGCCAAGCCTCGCCCCATTGTGGCAACTCTGTCTTTGAAGCCTAGAGTCCGGGGACACAGAGCAGGAGTACTTGGGGTGTCGGGGCATGGAGAGGACGTGCTTCTTGTGCAGTTGAACTTTTGATAATTGTGTGCTCCAGAACTCCATTTGAAATCCAGTTAGCTATTGCTTGGTGTCAGAGCATATTTAAGTATTTATTCTCCTTTTTCCAAGGAGCTGCAGCCGCCAACGTAGGTTCTCCCCTCTTGTGCTTTATCCTTTGAGTGGGTCGGGATGAGTAGCCCCGGGTCACCCAGTTAGTTTTCATGGCAAACAGGAATTCGAACCCCAGGCAGGAATTCGAACCCCAGGCAGAGCGGGGCTGGAGCAGCTTCAGGCAGGGAGCTTCAACCTCCCCGGTGGCTGGTTCCGAGGTGGGGCCTTCAGCTCTTGAGAAGTAGGAGCCCCCGGAGTGCAGCTTCCCTGAAACCCCCCCCCCCACACACACACAGACACTTTTTCTGCCTTCCAGCTCGTCAGCATTGGCTCCTCCTATAACTACGGGAATGAAGACCAGGCTGAATTTCTGTGCGTCGTCTCCAAGGAGCTGCACAACACCCCGTCCGGGACGGCCAGCGAGCCCAGTGAGAAGGCCAAGGTGAGGCACACACCACCACCACCACCACCCCCGGCGGCCTGTGCGCATGCGGGGAGGGGAGGGCAGGAACAGCAGAGCTGCCGGGCTGGAGCCTCTGGCTGGACCCCCTGGGTCTCCCCCCACCCCCCTTGGGTCATTGGCATGGGGGTGGGGGTGGGACCCTCGTGTCCTCCGCTGACATTGTATTGCATCTGGGTCTGGGTTACTGCGGGGCTTCTCTGTGCACCTGTTTGGAGTGGAATACTGAAGCCGTCCTCCAGAAACGGGCAGGTGGGGGCAAGTGGTCGGAGGCCAGGCCTGGCTGGGCCGGAGGGCTGTGCGTGAGGGACGGCCGTGTTGCTCCCACCTTGACTACGCTGGCTCAGTGGAGAGGATGCCGGAACGCGGACCCGGGTCCGCGCTGGCTCTGCAGGGAGGTGGAGAAAGCCGTGCGTGCCTGACCGTGAACACTCAGCCCCCTGGGATTCCAGTCTCCTTGAAGAAGGGATAGCTGGCAGCCAAAGCGGAGGGTGTGTGTGTGTGTCAGTGCTCCTTTGCTCAGGGGTTGGGCGGGGGGGGGGGACTGGCCCTTTCAGGCAGCACAGAAATGCAGTCTGAGGTTCACGCCTCTGGGAACAGTGTGTGGGAAAGGGGCAGCTAGTGGCCGGAAGACCGCCGAGGGCTCTGGCAGAGCGGTGCGGCAGGACCAGGGTCTGCCTCTGGGCCTCTCTTTTCCCCATGTGGTGTCTGAGTCAGGACGGGTGCTGCAGGAGGTGCCGTGGGCGGGTGGGTGGGTGGAATGGCCGTGGTGCGGCAGAAGGGAAGGGGGTGGGGGAGGCCGTGCAGGTGTCTGGAGGGATGAGGTGTGGAGGTCCTCCTTTCCAGAGGTCGGGCTCTTGATGTCCCGTGCCGGGGACTTGCAGCCTCCACTCTCCCACTCTGCTTTTCTCCAGGAAACCCCCAATGCGGGGGGCGGGGGGAGGTTGAACACAAGGAGAGTGAAGGACAAAGGAATATAAATTAGCCACATCTGCTCATGGCCCCCCAAGCTGGACATGCCTGTTTTTTAGAGGGGCGTAGGTTTTTGAGGTCAGGTTTTTAAACATCGGTTCTGCAATTCTTCGCGATCCTGAAGGGAAACAGGGACACCTCCTTGCTGTAGAAGGATGTTGGGGGGGTGGGGGTGGGGAGTAGAAAGAGTAATTGCCAGGCCCCACAACTACCGTCCTTGTCTTCATGCACCTTGCAGTGGAAACAGACGTGGGACTATCTTGGGGGTTCTACAGGTTGCTTTAACCGGCTGTTTGCGCTCGTAACTCTTTTCTGTTGCTGCGCCCTCCTGGCCTGGGGGCTTGGCTGGCTGAGCTGCTGCTATTCTCAGTCTGAGACGGAGACGTTCCCGCCAGCTTCTGCTTGGCAGAGGAGTTGGTGTGGTGCTTTCGGGCGCTTCGGTGCAGGAGGCGGGCCTGCAGACCGAGTCGAGTCTGGTAGACTCTCCTGGCAGCCAGCGGGCTTGCCGTCGATCTGTCCTGACGGGCTGCTGGTCCGGGGGCTGAAGCCCTGCCTTGCAGCTGCCTGCCTGCCTGCCGCCCCGTTTCTCTCTGTCTCTCTCTGTCTCTGTCTCTCTCTCTCTCTCTCTCTCTCTCTCTGTCTCTCTCTCTCTGTCTCTCTCTGTCTCTGTCTCTCTCTCTCTCTCTCTCTCTCTCTCTGTCTCTCTCTCTCTCTCTCTCCATCTCTCTGTCTCCCCTTCCTGCGTTTCTCTTTCTCTGGCCCCAGAGGGGAGGCGCTCCGGCCTTGCTGTGGCACAACTCAACTTGCCCTCTTTTCTTTTGCCTCCCCTTTCTTCACACTGGCTGCATGCTGCTCAGAGCGAAGATGAAGAGACGGATTGGGAGATGCATGACTCAGATTAAGGGTGAATGCCGCTGGTGAGCACCAGGTCTCTGGACCCCACCTGCCCCCCCCACTTCCCCTTTGGTGTGGTGTCTCGTGGTGGTAGCTGCTTCACTCCCTCTGCCCAGGTGGAAACAGCACCAGATGGCCTTGTAGTCCAGTAGTGCGTTGGCTCCTTGAGGGAGGGGAGGTGGGTTGTGCTTTTTCTTACTGTGGGGCGGGGGCAAGAATGCTTGGAAGCAGGCCAAGGGACAGGGCAACAGGGAGGCCTGCACTTGAGAGGACGGGGTCCCGAGCAAGGCCACAGCCACCCACGACGTGGCCCCTTACCTTGCTGTGCCCCACCCGGGGCAGCCTTTCCGTCCGTCTTCAGGAACTGCGCCCCACGTGCGCCTGCCTGCTCTTGACTCCAAAACATACTCTCCCACAGCAGAGGAAACCTTGCTTACCCCGTGGGGCTGAAATTTTCCTGCCCCTCTTTGTCGGGGTGTGGGTGTGGGGGGGGGGGGACTCATGTTTAGACTATTTTCCTACTCTGAGCCCCTGGGCAGACTCATTTCCAGCACGAGTCTCCAGCTCCAAAGAAGAGTGGTTTGTTGGAAGGAAGGGCTTCACGTCTGCCTGTCCCAGTTTATTAATTTATTAATATTTATTTATTTTTTGTACTTATACCCCACCCTCCCCCGTGGGCTCAGGGCGGCTTATAAGGGCAGTTGGGGTGGATGGCTGAAGGAGGGTAGTCCTGGAACTGCCGGGGCTGAGACGGCCAGTGTGGGCCCTTGGCCATTGGGCAGGGTCTGCCACAGCCCATCTCCTCCCCCCCCCCTGAAGGAGTTCGGGGCTTGTGGGAGGGAGGGGAGCCTGCTGCCCACTCGCCCCTCTCTCGTAGGCAGCGTGGCCCCCCTGGCCTAGTTCGGGGTTCCCTGTGCCCACCGATGTCTCTGGCGGAGGAGAAACTCAATATGGCTCAGATGTTGGCAAGGACCGATGGCAGAAGGATCTTTGGGGAGGAGACGTGTGGGGGGAGGGGGGGAGGAGGAAGGGAAAAGGGAAGGTGGGCCGGTGGGGTTAGGGCTTGAGCGCACATGCAGTTGGCTTGAGCACATATGGAGCTGCTTTTGGCCGAATCGGACACCCCCGGTCCATCGAGGGCAGCGTTGTCTACTCAGACCGGCAGCCGCTCTCCCTGGTCTCAGGCTTCTCATCACCAGCCGCCTGGTCCTTTTTAAGGGGACCAAACCTGGGACCTTCCGCATGCCGGGCGGATGCTCTGCCACTGAGCCAGGGCCTCCGGAGGCCATTCAGAGCAGCTGGACTTCCTGGGTGAGAACGCCATTTTGATCCGATTGGAAAGACGTCCCCCCCCTCGCTGTCAGGCATGGATGGGGTTGTCGTAGCAACCTTTGGCTCTGGCAAGACCGTTTGTCAGCTTGGATTCTCCCCTGAGACTGGCGCTACCTTTCGTGGGGGGGTCACAGAGAGTCCCCCCCCCCCCATGTCTCCACGGACCAGAGGTGGATCAAGAATGTGGCCACCAGAGAGGTGGCCAAAAGCCAGTGTGGGTTGTGGGGGTTGGCAGGATGTGGTCTGGCCGGGTTCAGCGTGAAGAAGGGAGGTCTGGCATGGCGCTGGGTGCTGGTGCTGGGCGTCTCCTTTGGGAGCAGACGCCTTTATCCGCTTGATACGGCAGCTGGCAGGGCTCTTCCTTTTGAGTTACAGTTGCCAGAGAAATCTAAGGGGAGGCTTTGTGAATCCGTTGCTCAGAATGCGGGACTTGGGTTGGACCACACAGCTGGACGGCTCACCTGTGGAGCAGAGGGACATCGGGGGACTCTGGTCGCTATTATATAATTGCATGCTCTGTATAGTTATATAACGAGGGCACTCTCTGGTCGCTTTCCCTCCTTCCTCCCAAGAGCTCCTGGTGGTTTACGTTGTTCTTCCCTGTCCCATTTTGTCTTCACAACAACTTCCCTGTGAGGTAGACCAGGCTGAGACTCTGTGACTGGCCCAAGGTCACCCAGTGTGCTTCCATGGCACAAACGGGGATTTGAGCCTGCGTCTATGAGATCCTCATTTAACCACACGCTGGCTCCCAAAACCTATGAATTTTGAAAGATTTCCCCCCTCCCCCCCTAGCCTTGGAAGGCGGGAGGAAGAAGCACACCACATTTGTGGTACTGGGAATCCGTGCACCCCCACTGGGGAAAGTGCCTCCCTGACTGCCGAGGGCTGGATAAGCTCCTTCTGCTGGGGCTAAGAAACAAGAGCCCTCCTCCCCCCCTCCGCTTGAGAGAACAGGCTCCCCCACGTCACCGTTCTGGTCTTCGTGCAGCCCACGACATCCTGATTCTTAGGGCGGGCTGCAAGGGAGTCCTTCAGCCACCAAACACTTTGGCCACGCCACGGAGGCCCCCGTGGGAGCTACTGGGCCCTTGATGTGCTTGACTGAGCTGGGTGGGGGTGGGCAGGCGGTGGCAGCAGGAAGCCTGTGCTCGTGGGAATGCAAGCCTCATGGAACAGGGCAGCACGTTCAGCGTCAGAAGCGGCTGGATGGCACATCTGTTCTCTGCAGCTGGACTGGTCTGCTTTGGGGGTCTGGCCCGTTTGTGGATAGTCTCAGCATTCCCCCCACCCCCGTTTTGGAAGCGCCTTGTGGTCTGCAGCAGCTGAAGCCCCACCTAGCTTGCCAGCAGATGTTCTCTTTGTTGCACTGCCAGAAGACTCCTGGGGGCGGAGTCAGGAAATCCGTTCTTTGCCCTGCCTCAGGGCTTGGCTCTCGAGAAGGTCCTAGAAAGGGCTGGGACTTGCTGGAGATGGGAGTCTCCTTGTTGGGCCTTGTCTCACCTATTGTGCCTTTCCCCCCTCTTCTCCCCCCTTCCCAGATCTTGCAGGAACGCGGTTCGAGGATGTAACGTCCCAGTATTGGATGCTGAAGAATGACCCCATGAAGAGCTGTGGCCGGGGTGGGGAGAGCCCTTTCTTCAGACATTTTTTGTTGATCTGGATTTTGACCCATTTGTACGTTTGGAGCAAACAAAGCAGGCAGTGGGGGGTTAGGGATGCCTGCCTTGCTGCACAAAGGGCAGTGTTGGCTCTCAGGCCTGCTGGGGGGGATTCTTTCGTGGTCCGAGCCACCCATGCAAAGAAGTGTGCCCCCTCCACTCTTCTGCAGAGAGAGAGAGAGAGGAGCTCTCTGCCCAGCGCTGTGTCTGGAGGAGGCTTTGCGGAGTGCCCGGAAGCAGTGTGGCTCGTCCTCCTTGCAGGGCAGTGATGAAAGGGCAACATACTTGGTGCTACGTGTCACTTGCAGCCCATGAAGGCCCGCCCTGCATGGTCACCCCAGATGACTGTCCTCGTGTGGCTCTTGGGGCATGCCGTTGGTAGTCCGCAGCGCTAGCCCAGGTGGAAGGAAGGGCTGCCGACAGGAAGCCCGCACATCGCTTTCTCGCCTCTGCTCATTTCAGTCCACAAAGGGAAGAGTTGGCTTGGGAAGAAACCTTTTGCCTGCTTCTCTGGAACTGGCTTTCCTCTCTTCGTATTGCAGATGTTAAACTCGACTTCTAGCTACATTTTAAGACTGAAGGTCCATTTCAAAAAGAATGCCCCCAACTTTCCCCACGTGTATACTTCCACCCGAGTGGTGTTCAGAAGCGGCTAGGGCAAGTGTTCACGCCCTCGTGAACTGTGACAGATCTGGAGGGCGGCCTGCAGCGCTCCACCCTCCCTGACGTTTGTGGATGTGGGCCAACGTGCCCCCAGAAGCACCACGGCAGAGGCCATATCCACAGAAGAAAGGAAAAGGAATGCGTCCTTGTGCGTCTTTATAACTGATGTTTACAGTCATTTCTATAATCTCTTATCTATGCAGTACTATCTGGTGTTTTGGCAGAGGTTGTCCAAAGCACTTCTTGTGGTTTCATTGAGGGAGGCTTCTGGTAAATGTGAAGAGAAACAACTGGAGTTTTTTGTGTGCTGTGTTTAGATGAAACCATTAGCATGTCTTTGATACAGGTTTCCAGAAGTAGACTTCAGACCTCTCTTGCGTCTTCGTGGAGCATGACCAGAGGGACCCCGTGTTTCTCTGGGGCCTGCTGGCAAATCTGATGAGCGTACTTCAGACCGTTGCATTAAATGACTTCCAGAAGTTTTCCGTCTACTTCTTCTTTGCCACTCAGATGGGTGGCGTCCTCTTTTGCCTCTGCCTCCTGGGCACTGCTAGAGGAGTTGTGGCGTCTTCGCTTACAGGGGAAACGGTTTTACCTTTAAACACTCTCTGTGTTTATAAACTTGGTAGCTTTCTGCTGCCACCAGGAATTAAAAATCCCAAATCTCTCCTGGTAGAATGACCTAGGGTCTTGGCACTTCAGAGGACTATGTGGCCGTAAGGAAGAACTATACTGATTTCTGGGATAAGTTTAAACAAAAATTGATTTATTGCTGAAGACAGAACAAAATAGGTTTCTGATTATTTTGAACCGTTGCTGAAGACAGGAACTTGTAAATATAACTGGCAAAGCTTGGTGCTACAAACAGTCTCTCAAACTCTGAACTCCACTCTGACAGGCTTATATGCTCAGTATAATCTTTCTCTATCTCATATATATAGATATAGCCACACAGGCTAGTCTTTGTTTTATTCACACAATGGAATCAACTCTCATAGTCACACAGACTAAACTTTTGGTCTTATTCACACAGAATTAGAATCAAAATCCCATAGTCACACAGACTATGTTCTTTCTTCAAGCTTCACACACAGAATCCTTCATAACTCTCAGAGTCACACGGACTCTTCCACACTTGTCTCCTATCACAGAATCCCACACTCTCAGTCAGCAGCGAACCGAATCACACTTGTCACCCTTTTATCACTCTTCTCATATTACTGCAGTCAAACAAAACATTTAAAGCAACACACACACCAGAACATGGAATCATTACAGGAGTAATCAGAATTTTGGGCCGGGATTCTTGTCCAGCACAGCAGCGCCTCTCTCCTGCTGCCGCTTGTCCATTTTGTCATTCAGACTGGGTTGCACCGGTGGGGCTCGGGTCCTTCTCAGCACATAGGCCATTTTTGTTGTAAAGAATTTAAAATAGTAATTGAATTTTCTAACATGATTTTTCTGGAGGGAGATGTTTCTACTGTTATACTTTTTTAGGTCTCCATGTTTGATCACCTTAGAGCGAAAGCCACCTTGTATCCCTCAGGGAATAGCATTTTGTGACTCCCAAGAGAGAGGTTCTCCACATGTGCCCACTCCAGAGGTTGACAGTGGGGCAGCTGACCAGCCCCTGTCTCCTTTGGGCCTGTCCCTGGCTGTTCTGGGATGTGCTCTCCAAAGGAAACTGGACACTGGCTGGAAAGAGACCCATACCCAAACGCCATTCACTTACCAGGTGGGCTCCGTCAGAGGTCTTTGCTGATGAGATGGTCACTATGCCACCTCAAAGGAGGACCGAGTTGCAGCCTCACGGAAGGTGATTGATGCATGCAGACCTTTGAAGATGCAGGGTAACCTGCTTCTTGATTTGGAGGTGGGTTATCTTCCATGCCCTTGCAGAGATCTCCGGGAAGTGTGAGGAGGCCTTTGGGAAGGGCTGGAGTGTTGGGCTGCGGATGTCGGCGTGGTGGGGGTGGATCCCTTTACTGTCTCTACTGGTTCCGGACTGGCAGGATGTTCCCATTGCAGGGGTTTGGCAGTGTGTAGAATTTGCCCTTGAGCGTTTTTTAAAGTTTAGGTAGCTTGGGGTGTTGGATGAGAAGATACCCAGGGTCAGGCTGAGTTTGTAGTTCTAAACCAGTATTTTATCCAACATTTAATCTGGAACCTTCTGGACTCTATGTCTGTGAAATTTGATCTGTGGCGTGCTGGTGAGAATCTTTTTGCTGCTTAAACCATCATGTTTCTCAAGATTTAACAGGCATTGTAGGTAATTTGATGAAAGTTCAGAAAACACATGGGGGGGGGGGGCTGTAATCTCCTGTACTGCTTTTACCCTCGATCCCTCTCTGGCCTCTTCCCTGGTCCTAGCCAGTGCTGTTCCCCCACATGGGCGTTGCCACAATGTTCCGGGCACTCTGGAAACAAGCAAATGGCGGGGGAGACCGGCTGTGTCATTCTACATTGTAGAATTTGGGTCAGATTTGGGGGGGGGGGCAGTTCTTTCCCCCCCCCCCCCCCAACAGTGTGCACCACAGAGCCGGTTTGCCTGGCAATTATTCCAATGTTCCGGGCACTCTGGAAACAAGCAAATGGCGGGGGAGACCGGCTGTGTCATTCTACATTGTAGAATTTGGGTCAGATTTGGGGGGGGGGAGCAGTTC